AATAGCGAGAAGGACATCACGCAGGTGCAGGTGGAGGCAACGGATGGGGGTGAGATGGCATGGATTTTATGGTCTTATTCTTCGTTGTTGTTATCATTAATAGCATAATTCTTTTCGTCGTACTGTAATGGATAACAAAGGTATTTTTTTGTAAAGAGGGGGTGTCATTTGTAGATTTGGGTGATTTTTTGATGCATTTTAATCAGAGAGTATTATAATATACCGTAAAAGAGATTTATAAAGCAATGTATCGTTGTGATTAACTGATACTCTTTATAAAACGTATAGTCATTGTATTTTAGAAGTGATTTAATGGGAGAGAGAGAGAGAGAGAGAGAGAGAGAGAGAGAGAGAGAGAGAGAGAGAGAGAGAGAGAGAGAGAGAGAACGAAAGAGCGAAAGTACAAGAAAGACTGAATACACCAGCATTAAAAGCTACACGTGCCCCCCCTCTCCCCCTCCCCCAGTCGTGTTCAACAAGGGCCAGTCCGTGGAAGTGCTGGTCAAACGGACGAAGACCTGCACAACCCTCGAAGTGTTCACGCTCGGCCAGACGTTCAGCAAGATGGAGCACAAGGGCCTGCGTCTCCTGCAACCCGACGAGTACGAGCAGTTCCCCTTCGGCACGAGCAGGCCGCTGCCGGGGATGGTCTACTACCCGCACTCGCTGACGAGGCCGAACCCGTACTTTGAGGTGGGCGGTCGCTGCTGCCGGCGTGCGAGACTGGCATTTGTGTTGCTGTTTTGTTGTAATGACTGTTATTTACTATATGCACACACACACACAAATATATATATATATATATATATATATATATATATATATATATATATATATATATATATATATATATACATATATATATATATATATATATATATATATATATATATATATATATATATATATATATATTTATATACATATATATCTATATATATATACATATATACATGCATATATATATATACTTGTATATATGTATATATATGTATGTATATATATATATATATATATATATATATATATATATATATATATATATATATATATATATATATATATATGTATGTGTGTGTGTGTGTGTGTGTGTGTGTGTGTGTGTGTATAAGTATATATATGTACATGTTTATACATACATATATAATACATATATACACACATTTGATTTATTTATTTCACCTAAAACTAGATTAGAGCAATATTTATAAAGGTAAAACACATTTTTAACACGATGCTGATTAGTCATTATCATTTTTGCTATCATCATCATCAACATCATCACTATCATTATTATCTTTATTAAAGCTACTCTTATTACTATTTGTATCGTAAATATCCTTAGGTTTATTGTTAAGAAAGTAATAATTATCATTATATATTTTTTTTTATCAAGAAAACAGCCGTTATTATTCTATCATCCCTTATTATCATGATCATAATCAACATCACTTCATTTCCAGACCAACCCCTATAAAACGAACACGATCATAACACCCCCCTCCCCCCCCCCACCGCCCACTAAAGCAACTACCTCATTCCTCCAGGCTTACCTTGGTTCGGCCAATGACATGTCACGCGATGTCAAGTGTATAACCAAGGGTATGATTGGTTGTCTCAGGGGACTTCGAATCGGGGACCAAGATGTCTCGCTGCCCAGGCTTTCGGCTGAGACGGGTAATAAAGGTAAGTGTGTGTGTGTGTGTGTGAGTGTGTGTGTCCGTCTGTGTGTGAGTGTGTGTGTGTGTGTGTGTGAATGTGTGTGTGTGCCTCTATGTGTGTGAGTGTGTGTGTGCGTCTGTTTGAGAGTGTGTGTGTGTGAATGTGTGTGTGTGCCTCTATGTGTGTGAGTGTGTGCCTCTATGTGTGTGAGTGTGTGCCTCTGTGTGTGTGTGAGTGTGTGCCCCTGTGTGTGTTTCTGTGTGTGCGAGTGTGTGCCTCTGTGTGTGCAAGTGTGTGTGTGTGTGAATGTGTGTGTGTGCATGTGTGTGTGTGCCTCTATGTGTGTGAGTGTGTGCCTCTGTGTGTGTGTGTGCCTCTGTGTGTGTGTGTGCCTCTGTGTGAGTGTGTGTGTGTGAATGTGTGTGTGTGCCTCTATGTGTGTGAGTGTGTGCCTCTGTGTGTGTGTGCCTCTATGTGTGTGAGTGTGTGCCTCTGTGTGTGTGTGAGTGTGTGCCCCTGTGTGTGTGTTTCTGTGTGTGCGAGTATGTGCCTCTGTGTGTGTGTGTGTGCCCCTGTGTGTGTGTTTCTATGTGTGCGAGTGTGTGCCTCTGTGTGTGCGAGTGTGTGCCTCTGTGTGTGCGAGTGTGTGCCTCTGTGTGTGCGAGTGTGTGCCTCTGTGTGTGCGAGTGTGTGCCTCTGTGTGTGCGAGTGTGTGCCTCTGTGTCTCTGAGTGTGTGCCTCTGTGCGTGCGTCTCCGTGTGTGTGAGTGTGTGTCTGTGTGCTTGTGCGCGTGAGCGCGCGTGTTTATCTATGGACAACGATGCGTACGTTGGTGTTTATTAATTCATTTAACCATTCATTCATTTATTTATTCACTTGCAAAAATATCTGCAGACAAAAGGAGACAGATATTCACACACACACACACACATATATATACATATATATATATACATATATATGTATATATATATATATATATATATATATATATATATATATATATATATATATGTATATATATATATATATATATATATATATACATATATATATATATATATATATATATATATATATATATATATATATATATATATATATATATATATATATATATATATATATATATATATATATATATATATATATATATATATATATATATATATATATATATATATATATATATATATATATATATATATATATATATATATATATATATATATATATATAACATATTTAACCTTCTTTTTCATCAACAGACGATAACGTAAAACCCGATTGCAAACTTGCGTGCGATGCAACTCCTTGCAAGAACGGAGGCTCGTGCACCGAAGACTTCAAGAACGTCAATAACTTCCATTGCGATTGCTCGGGCACGTCGTACGCGGGGCCTTCTTGCTCTGCGGGTAAGGAAACTCGCCTTCATAGTCAAGGTCGCTTTTTCCATTATCCTTTCGGCCTATAATGCATGTTCAAAACGATCTTGAGTCATCTCTTGAGCTGTATGATACTCTCAACATACACCAAAACGTACGAGTCATCTTTTTTACTTTCTTTTTCTTCATTAACTATCTATCATAATTTTCTTCCTTTTTTTCTTCATCCATTTATCTGTTGTTGTTTTTTCCTACTTTTCTTTTTCTTCCTCATTTCTCAATTTCTCTCGCCAACAGAGTCGGCCTTCACCTTCAGAGGAGACCAATGGATGAGCAAAGCCAGTAATTCGTCTGTTATTGCTGACTTCATTCTCGAATTCGCTTTCTCGGCTTCGGAGGTTGTCAGCGAACCACAGCTGATCTTGCTCCTCAGGTCCACCGACCCAAGGTAGTGCTTCTGGCAGCTCTTTCTTGTCTCTTCCTGTTGGATTTTTGTTCAAATATCAGCCTCTTTATATATGTATATGCCTGTGTGTGTGTGCCTGGTTCTATGTTATCCTCTCTCTTTCGCTCTCTCTCTCTCTCTGTCTCTCTCTGTCTCTCTCTCCCTCTCTCTCTCTCTCTCTCTCTCTCTCTCTCTCTCTCTCTCTCTCTCTCTCTCTCTCTCTCTCTCTGCCTCTCTCTCTCTCTCTCTCTCTCTCTCTCTCTCTCTCTCTCTCTCTCTCTCTCTCTCTCTCTCTATCTATCTATCTCTATCTCTCTTTATCTATCTATCTTTATCTCTGTCTCTTCGTCTTTTTTGTTATTTGTCTGCTTCAATGCCTCTTTCTGTGTTTCTCTATTTCTTACTTCTGTTGCTGTTCACACCATTACTCATTTTGTTTTCCCTATTTTGTAAATTTTCCTTCCCTTACCTACGTATATTTCTCTCACCTATACTTGTGTTCCCTCAATTATTTTTGCATATAACTGGACACAGAACAACTCAGCATTCCTCCCATCACTAATTCCAAGTCACATATCCATCAATCCATTCGTAACACCGCACATTTCCCATCGTTTTTTTCCCCCCAGCACCGCCCACGACTATCTTCTGGTGGGCGTGGAGAGCGACGGGTCCCTCTTGATAGAGGCGCAGTTCTCTGACTTGGACTCGCAGGAGGTGCACGGGGCCAAGCTCACGCCCTCAGCCCACCAGATCGATGTATTTGACGGCTATAGGCACCACGTGGTCATCATGAGGTCGCCGACTGATTGGACGCTGAAGGTAACATTTTTGTTGATAGTGTTATTTATTTATTTATTTTTTGATTAATGTGTAACTTGTATACATCGGAAAATGACAACTAAGGGGAATGAAATTGTATTTTGTAAAATTATATAATCAATGTTTTGTTATCTTTGTCTGTGTGTTCATCTGAATTGTTATGATTTTATCTTTATTGAACTATTGTATATATCAGTGTTAGATTTTATTGTCCTCCAGTGGATATCTTGGATCTGACGTTTTATTTCTCTTCATATATTTGAGTTTATTGTATAAAAAATCCCAAACTGTACTATTTACACAAGGAAAACCACAAGGACCTTGGTTAAATAGTACAACCGCTCACAAAAAACGAATCATTTGGAAATTCTCGTTGCATTATAAATCCCCATCCGTGTTGACAGGTGGACGGAGAAGAATATAAGACCTTCCCATTACGAGCTGTGTACGACGACTCGACAAGTCTCAGGCAGGATGGTACATATTTGTACCTTGGCGGCGTAGAGACAGGAACAGATGATCGCTTGAGCCGCTACGTAAACTTCCACGGCTGCATTTCAAGTGAGTTATTTACATTGGTTTTGATTATAACAACAAAAGCGTACTTCGCCAAAATTTCCACCCGGCTTTTGGAGACATTCACGTTCGAAAGACTCACTTGCAGATCAAACACATTATCATATTTT